TGAGCAAGAGCGAGACCCCGTCTCTACTAAAAATAGAAAGAAATTAATTGGACAACTAAAAATACATAGAAAAAATTAGCCAGGCATGGTGGCGCATGCTTGTAGTCCCAGCTACTCGGGAGGCTGAGGCAGAAGGATTGCTTGAGCCAGGAGTTTGAGGTTGCTGTGAGCTAGGCTGACGCCACGCCACTCTAGCCCGGGCAACACAGTGAGACTCTGTCTCAAAAAAAAAAAAAAAGACATATCAGTAAGTATGTTCATGGACATCTATAGAATATTATTCAAACCTTAAAGAGGAAATTCTTAAAATTAAATGGGCTGGGTTTCTTTTGTTTTGTTGTTCTTATTTTTCTGATTGGTGCTGGGAGTTGTCATCACGTTGGCCCTTTTTCAGAAACTGACCTCTTTTACCACAATGAATTTAATTTAATAAAGTTAAAAATTCCATTGCCATTTCAAACAAAAATTATATTTAAATCACTCATAATCTAAGCATTCAAATCTGCCCAAAATATCACAAATCACCTAAGCTGCAACGGCCATATGTGTTAACTTCTTCTAAATTATAATAATGAATATCATATTATTGAAATCCATATAGAATAATATATGCTAGTATATTCATTTTAAACTAATATCAACAGCTCATACTTAGTAATAAAAAATAAAGCCTCAGGTCGATGATGAGTTGGCATGTATTCTGAATCTAAAGTTGATTATTAGCTGGGCGCGGTGGCTCATGCCTGTAATCCTAGCACTCTGGGAGGCCGAGGCGGGAGGATCACTTCAGCTCAGGAGTTCGAGACCAGCCTGAGCAAGAGCGAGACCCCGTCTCTACTAAAAATAGAAAAAATTAGTAAGTCAACTAAAAAAAAAAATAGAAATAAAAAATTAGCCAGGCGTGGCGGCTCGCGCCTGTAGTCCCAGCTACTCAGGAGGCTGAGGCAGGAGGATCGCTTGAACCCAGGAGTTTGAGGTTGCTGTGAGGTAGGCTGACGCCACGGCACTAACTCTAGCCCAGGCAACAAAAGCGAGACTCTGTCTCAAAAAAATAAATAAATAAATAAAGTTGATTATTAGTACTTTAGCTCTAGAATTACTGAGACCTGAAAAAAAAAAGCCTCATATTTAAACTATAAAAAAGCAACTCACAGGTAATCCAAAAAAGCCAACATTGCTTGTGTTATACAAAATATGCATGCAAAATTTTTACATCACTTCTATTAATAATTTTGCTTTAGCATATTCTGGATTTAGTATGGCACTGCAGTTTAAAGTAGTAACACATCCAAATTATTCATTAATTAACTAGGTAACCATTTCACAAGAGAAGGAGAAAGTTTATGAAAATTAAAAAAGATGAGACTAACTCTACTTACCTCCGTACAACTTCTTTCCACCCTTCTTCTCTTTTTTGGCCCCTTTTAGGGCTAGTGAGATTCAGCTTTATGTTTGGAGAGCTTAATGGCAATGACACTGACTTGTAGCTTGTTGACAAGGAATTAGGATTCACTTCACCTTCAACTCTGAGAAGAGAGAAATATCGAGTCCAATAAAAGATAAATTTTAAGATAGAAACTCAAGAGAGTATTCCTTTACAGACAAAGTTATGCTGAAATATTTCAATTAAAATTTGGCATATCAACTAATGAACAAGTCAGAAAAATAGAAATAGAGCAAGGAGATCTTACTGCTTTAGTACTGAAATGAATTCCGAGGCCAAAAATTAGACCATAATCAATAAAAATGACATAGTTAGATAAATATCAACGCATGCTAGTATTTTCAACTTCATACTATGAATCTTATAAAAATTTCTAATAATCTCACTTCCTAAGTAGAACATGATGAACATAACGTGGGTAAATTTCAGTTTTGAATATTGAAGACAGATAATGTGGTAGACTTAAATTGTTCAACACAACTTGTTCTTGGATAATGTACTTCAAATTCTTGTGCCAGGCATGAAGAAGGAAAGGTGAATGTAAAGTTAACAAATCAGAAACATTTACCGTGTTTGAGTTTTGGAAGTGGCGGTACTCATCTTTTCTTCTTGGGAATGGAGGAGTAGTGAGGGGTATCTCCTATCACTAGAGCAATTCACATCCATAGTGAAATTTAACTCTTGACTTTTACCACCACTACTACTCTCACTGTTGCAGTCTGTGCTGTCCAAGTTATCTGAATCACTATTCCCACCTGCACCACCACCTCTAGATTCTCCATTTATTTTATTTTTATCTGCCTTTTGCTGTGCTAAAGATATATGTTGTTCTGGTAAAATTAAATGTGCCGTGGGAGGGGTTTCCTTTGTTTTGTTCTTCTTATTTTTCCGATTGGTGCTGGGAGTTGTCACCACGTTGGCCCTTTTTTTCCCAAACACATTTGTGAATGTTGCAGATGTTGCAGAGATTCCAATTGTGGTGGTGGTGGTTGCACTAGGAGGTTCTATGGGAACTTCTTGCTCCACTGAAATTATCAAAAAGGATAAAAATCACACTGAGAGCCACAGATCTCAAAGCAAATTCTGACAGAATATACCTAAAAACTCATAATAATGCAGTCCTTTAGGTCATATTTTCCTTTCACCAGTAGTCACTAATAAATAAAGAAAACTTTACTATTGTTAGAATAAATACATAATATTATATTTTGATGTCTAAGTTGGTATAGAATATGCACACCATTAACATTCTTAAGATCTGAAATACTAGTCTCATAAATTAACCAAAACCACAATACAGTTTGAATTTAGGAAATTTTTCAAATAGTATTTTAGAATTAGAATTTAAGTAGAGCAAAATTATTTGCTACTACAAGCACTGCCAGAATGCACAATAAACAATTCTTTGAAAGTTATGAACCCAAGTCTTTACTGACATTTCACCCCTCTATATAGTCAAGCCTGAACCTAAGAATTTAATGAGAAACTGTGCCTCTTCATAGTTTCTAATCAGAGGAGGAAGCTGTAGAGAAGAACCGAAGAAAAGCTGGCAAACTTCTTAATCTATCACTTTTAGTATATACGTGACATTTTACACGGTGACTTAAATTACAAATGAACTTCTTCAAATTATGTACTTGCTTTCACCCTTCTGTTTTCTTGTATTAACATCAATTTATAATGTAAAACATTTAGAAATATTTACTGTAAAAGCCAGTTGTCAATTTCAGATTAAAGTAATCAAATATTTAACTGGAGTTAACTAGAGCAAAAAGCACTCAAGTTGATTAATAAAGGAGAATTTTATCAGTAATTCACATGGTTCATTTCTCACCATCTTCATCGTTCTCCTCTTCATCTTCATCCTCTGGTAGTTCTGAATTCTCTTTAGGTTTGTTTTCCTCATCTTCTTCCTGTTTCCTTTTCTGCTCCTCTTTTTTCTTTTTTCTCTTTTCTTTTCTTTTCTCTCTTTTAGCTGCAAGAGCCTGCTTTCTGCTCTCTTCTCTTGACTACAAATAAAGTAGGTATACCATTTTACCAATAATGTAGTAATTTAAAATAAAGAATGAAATGATATTTTTGTTTATGATACATGGGGCTTCCCATGGATGTCAGTCTCAAAACACATTTATAAAAGCAACAAAGAAAAAATAAACTAGACATCATGAAAATTAAAAACTTTTGTGCTTCAGAGGAATCACCAAGTAAGTAAAAAGACAACTCACAAAATAGGAAAAATATTTTTGCAAATCATACATCTGGTAAGGGACTTGTATCTAGAATATATAATGACATCTTACAACTCACTCTAAGGAAAACGATAACCTGATTACAAAATAGACTATGAAAACATGAAGTCACATACCTTAAATATATACAATTTTTATCATTTATACCTTCTTCTTTTTCTTTTTTTTTTTTTGGCGACAGTCTTGCTCTGTTGCCTGGGCTAGAGTGCCATGGCGTCAGCCTAGCTCATAGCAATCTCAAACTCCGAGGCTCAAGCAATCCTCTTGTCTCAGCCTCCCAAGTAGCTGGGACTACAGGCCTGCGCCACCACATCCAGCTAATTTTTTCTATTTTTAGTAGAGATGTGGTCTCACTCTTGCTCAGGCTGCTCTCGAACTCCTGAGCTCAAGCGATCCTCCTGTCTCAGCCTCCCAAGAGTGCCAGGATTACAAGCGTGAGCCACCGTGCCCGGCCAATAAAGTTATTTTTAAAAAATGAAAAAAGCATTTGAACAGACATTTCTCCAAAGAAAATACACAAATGGCCAAAAAGCACACAAAAAGATAGATGTTCAATATCACAAGCCATCAGGGAAAAGCAAATCAAGACCACAATGAGATACCTACTTCATACCCACTAGAATGGCTATAATCCAAGAGACAGATAATAACAACTGCTGGTGAGGATGTGGAGAAACTGGCCCTTCATACACTGTAGATAGGAATGGTACAGCCATATAGGAAAACAATCTGGCAGTTTCTCAAATGGTTAAATATGGAATTACCCTATGATCCAATAATTCCATTCCTAGGTATATACCCAAGAGAAATAAAAACATGTTTGTACAAAAACTTGTACACTTATATTCATAGCAGCATTATTCATAACTGCCAAAAATTAGAAATAACCCAGTGTCCACCAAGTGATAAGAAAATAAACAAAATGTGTTATATCTAGAGAACACAATATTTTTTGTATTTGGCAATAAAAAGAAATGAAGTACTGATTTATACTATAACATGGATGAACTCTGAAAACATTTTGCTAAGTGAAAGAAGCCAGTCACAAAAGACCAAATATTGTATGATACCATTTATGTGAAATGTCCAGAATCAGCAAATCTATAGAGACAGAAAGTAGATTAGTGGTTACCTAGGATGGAGGGACTGTAGGGAAAGAGGGGCAGGGTTTCTTTTTAGGATAATGAAAATGTTCTAAAACTGATTTGTGGTGACAAATACACAATTCTGTAAATATAGTAAAACCCACTGAGAATTGTATAACTTTAAGTCGGTGAACTGTATGGTTTGTGAATTAAATCTCAGTAAAGCTATTAAAAATACATTTATGTGGCATCTGTTTATTTGTATTATAATCTTTACAAAAGACTAATAAATTTCATTGTAAAAATATTAACAAGAGGGTCAGGGATGGTGGCTCACACCTGTAACCCTAGCACTCTGGGAAGCCTAGGTGGAACGACTGCTTGAGGCCAGGAGTTTAAGACCAGCCTGAGCAAGAGCGAGACCCGATCTCTACAAAATTAGAAAAATTAGCCAGGTGTGAAGATGCGAGCCTGTAGTCCCAGCTACTCAGGAGGCTGAGGCAGGAGGATCGCTTGAGCCCAGTAGTTTGAGGTTGCAGTGGGCTATGATGAGGCCATTGCACTCCAGGTTGGGCGACAAAAAAAAAAAAAAAAATTGACAAGAGGCTATTACAGAAATAATTATTTTTCTACTTTATAGAATTTTTAAAGCCACATTCAGAATTCTCTCCACCCTCAAGTTTTGCTAACATCTACTTGGTTAGCACCAGAAAATATGATTTTTTTTTTTTCCAGATAAGGGCACAGGTAACAGCTGCCTAGCACCATAAAAAAAAATCTGAAACAAGTAGAAAATACATCAAATTACCCATATTTCTCTGGTAATTATCCAAAAAGCCTCAACAGAAGAATGTGTCCATGGAGCCCAGTTCTTCTGGTAGTTAAGTAAAGCATTTTCCTCGAAACTGTAACTTACCATTCTGAAGCACAAATTGATTATTCTTCGAAATTTTAATTTATCTAAATCAGGGGTCGGCAAACTATGGCCTGAGTGCTAAATCCACTCTGCTGCCTTGTTTTTGTGTGGCCCAAAAGCTAAAGTTGGTTTTTTGATTTTAAATGGTTGAAAAAACTTTAAAAAAAGAATATTTTTTTTTTT